TTCCATTCATGTCATCACAATCAACTCTACTTTGAGGAGGCAACTCTTCCCAGGCGCATTTTGAGTGCCATCCAACCTGAGGGGCTCATTTTCTGGCACTATATCTGACAGTGTTTCTCTGCTAATTCATAAGGTTTTCAGTGACTAAATATTCTGAAGTAGTTCGTCACTCCTTCTTCCTAGTTTGTCTTTGTCTGGAAGCTCATCTGAAACCTGTTCACCATGGGTGACCCTGCTGGTATTTAAGGTACTGGTGGCATAGCTTCCAGAATCACAGCAACTCACAATCCACCACAGAACTGACCACGACAAACTGACAGATGATACATACATGTATAGTCACCATTTATAGTGTTAAAAAAGGTATTTACGATGAAGAAGTCATTGGTCTTGAAAAATTCTTTCATGCAATCTATAGCATCTTTTCTAACACCAAGACCATATTTTTCATTTACTGATCCTTCTTTGTTTTCAACTTTCACCTTCCAATCACTGATAATTATCAGTGCATCTTGATTGTATGTTTGATCAGTTTCAGACTGGAAGTTCCATTTCGTTTTGGTGACTTCCAATTTTCCTAGATTTATACCTCATACATTTTACTTTCTGATTATTAATGGGTATTTGTAGCTTTTCTTCTCATTTTGAGTTATCTATCAGTTTGTCAGTTTTCCACATTGTGGTGGCTTGTGTGTTGCTATGATGCTGGAAACTAAGCTAACAGTATTTCAAATATAAGCTGGGTCACCAATGGTAGACTGGTTTCAGTTGAGCTTACAGACTAAGACAGACTAGAAAGGAGGATCTGGCAATCTACTTCTGAAAAAGTCTTCATTGACAATCCTATGAATAACAGTGGAATATTGATAAATAGTGCCGGAAGATGAGCCCCACAGGTTGAAAGGCACTCAAAATACAACTGGAGAAGAGTTGCCTCCTCAAAGTAGAGTTGACCTTAATGATATAGGTGGAGTAAAGCTTTTGGTATCTTCATTTGCTCATATGTCATGACTCAAAATGAGAAGGTCCCAAAACAATCCAGATCTTTTCAATGGTTCATTCCTCCAACAAATATTTATTAAGAACTGCCAAGTTAATCAATCTTGAAAAGTAAGACTAATGTTAGAGACCTGACTTTAAAGAGCTCACAATATTTGTGTGTATTTGGGGAAGGGAGGGAGTTAGGTAGTTGCTCAACTTATAATTACATTTTAGACTGATACTAGGTTTAACTGAGTGGAGGAGCGTAGGACACTAAGGAGGGCTTTAGAGAGAATGTGGTATTTGTACTGACTCCAAAATAATACAAGGGACTTTCATATTAAGAAAGGGAGAGGGGAAGCAAGCAGTATGAGCAAAGGCACAAAAATGTGTGAAAGTTTGCTTTATTTTGAAAATAGCTTAAATTATGTTTACTTTATATATAGTGAAGTGCACAAATCTTAAGTGTGCACTTAAGGAAATTTTGCACATGTGCCCTGGTGACAACTCACCTGGGGGCTCCTCAGGACCAAGACCAGAAGGTTTGCTCCAATAAAGATTAAACCAAATCATACCAAACCTGTTTCCAGCAGGTTGGTTCTGAGGACTACCCCATGGGGTTTCCAAGGTTGTAATCTTTATGGGTGTGGCGCTGCAGGATAATGCACTGGGCGGCAAGGTCAGTTTGGATCGCAAGGTTGGCAGTTCTAACTTACCAGCTGCTCCTCAGAAACCCTTTACAGGGTCGCTATGAGTCAGAACCCACTTGACGGCACTTAACAACAATATCAACAATCTTTATGGAGTAATCTTTATGGAGTCCTGGTGTGGTGCTGCAGGATAATGCACTGAACTGCAAGGTCGGTGGTTCAAACTCACCAGTTGCTCTTTGGAAACCCTTTACAGGGTCAATATGAGTCAGAACTGACTCAGCAGCACTTAACAACAAACAAAAATGACAATAATCTTTATGGGCCCAGACACCCTCATCTTTCTCCCATAGACCTGCAAGTGGGTTTGAACTGCCAAACCACCAAGTCAGAGATTTGAGCCCACCAGCTGCTCCTTGTGAGGAAGATGAGGCTTTCTGTTCCTGCAAAGATTTACAGCCTCAGAAACCCTATACCGGGATAACTATGAGGAGCTGACTCTACAGCACGAAAAGCCATGCCTTGGGGAGCCATCAATGGCCCTATCCTGGTGAGATGTCCATCCGTGGGACATATTTGAGGAGAGACATCATCTGGCGTGTGGCATCAGCTAAGATCGGCTTGGTGGATGGTGACTGGTGTCCTCTGGCAGACCACGCGCTGCAGGGCACCTTGCATGTCGCGGTTCCTCAGCGTATAGATGGCGGGGTAGAGCAAAGGCGTGAGGTTGATGTAGATGAGCGAAACGAGCTTATCATCCTCCACCGAGCGGCTGCCGAGGGGTCTGGCGTACATGGCCGTGGCACAGCCGTAGTGGAGCACAGCTACCGTGAGATGGGACGCGACGGTGTTGAAGGCCTTCCGGCGTCCCGCAGCCCCACCTACGCTCAGGATGACCACCAGCACCCTGGTGTAGGAGAGCAGGATCAGGGCCAGGGGCAGTACCAGTAGCAGCAGGCATGCGGCCAGGAGCACATGCTCCTGCAGCTCCCGGTTCCCACAAGCCAGCACCAGCACTGCCGGGAGGTCGCAGAAGACGTGGTTGACCAGACCGCCGTGGCAGAAGGGCAGCTGGAATATGGCAGTGGTGAGGCCTAAGGCTAGTAACGAACCCCCAACACAGCAGGAGGCCAGCAAGCACCAGCAGAGCCCTGAGGTCATGAGCTGAGGGTAGTAGAGAGGCCGGCAGATGGCCAGGTAGCGATCCAGAGCCATGGAAGCCAGCAGCAGGCACTCAGAGCCCCCCAGAGCCACAAAGAGGCCCATCTGGGCAGCACAGGTGGAGACAGCCACAGCCTGACCCCCAGGAGGCAGAAGGAAACCGGCCAGCATGCGCGGGGTCAGCACCAGGGTGTAGGCCACCTCAACAGCAGACAGCGAGCCCAGGAAGAAGTACATGGGGGTGTGCAGGGCGGGATCCACAATAGCCAGGCCCAAGATAAGCATGTTTCCTGCGAGGGTGGCCAGATACAGAGGCAGGAGCAGGGCGAACAGGAGTACCCGGAGCCCTGGGGACCACCCCGAGAAACCCAGGATGATGAACTCCTGTGGGCTTGTCCAGTTCCAGTTGGACCAATGGCTCATGTTGGCATCTGCAGGACGGGCTGTTGGGGAGGGAGAGAGTGACTAGAAGGGACCATCATGGAGACATTTGTTGTTGTTAAGTGCCACTGAGTTGGTTCCGATCTGGTATTGGGTTTCTGAGGGGCGGCTGGTGAGTTCGAACCACTGCTTTATGGTTCAAACTGATCTTGGAGTCAAGTGCTTATCCTGCAATGCCATATGGAGACAAAGCCCTCCTGAAAAATACAGTTAAACTTGCGAAAGCTGGAACCTATGTAAGGCGAAACCTGTTAGAAAATGAAGTCTAATCTTTCCCTCCAAAATGAACAACAGAAGAGTGTTGAAAAACAAGGCAATTCCGGTGAGTTCCAGCTCTCACAAGTTTCACTGTGTTTTTCTCCTGCCTCTCCAGAGCCCAGGAACTTCATGCCAGTCTTCTTTGTTCCATCCTTTGCTTCCCACATCCCCCACTCCACCACTTTTCCCAATCTAGTATTTTTCAACCCTCATTTTTGCTCCCACAAAGATTTACAGCCTTAGAAGGCTCTATACAGTCTTGTGAGACTGAACCTACTCTAGTAGATGGTACTTAACAGCAACATTTCCATCGTTCAGTACCCTCTAGAAATCCAGGTGTCTTGACCCACTGGTCACTCTTCCTGTGTCCTCCCATCCCCATGTGTTTCCAGGGACCCAGGTGTCATCTTCCTGGCTTTCTACCCATATGCCACTTCTCTGTCATTCTCAGTCCATATCATTCATACCTAAGGATCCAGGCATCCAGACAATGGTGATGAGGATGAGGGAGGGATTGCGATTTCTTCTGGACACACTTTTTATTCAGTGGGCTGCTGCAGAGGGATAGAGACGGTGGGTCCTATAGATAAGGCCTCAGGGGTAAGGGGTTAATTGGTATTCACTTGCTCCCCTAGGAGAACGCTATGCCAACAGATCACTGGTATACCTGGTCTCACCTGTCCTGACTCTTCCTTTTGTTTTTATGGATTTTTTTCCCCCATTTCTTCCCCTCATCTGGCTTCAGATCAATAACACAGTAGTTCCTAGCCTGTCATCTCTCTCTGATCCAGTTATAGGGAAACAACTAGAGATGAAAGGAGTACTGGGGAAGATGGTATGCCCCTCTCCATGGTGAATGCTCACCATATGAGGAACAGCCTTCTTCATCAGTGACAGCACCTACTCCCATGGTTTACAATGTTGACAGTTCTGAAATCAGTCTCCACAACCAATTTCTCACCTTATCTTGTTTTTAGGTGTTGCCGAATTGACTCCAACTCATGATGACCCCATGTGACAGAGTAGAAATGTCCCACAGGATTTCCTAGGCTGTAATATTTACCAGAGAGTCTTGGTGTGGCGCTGTAGTTAACTGGCCTCTCCTCTGAAACCCTGTAGAGGGTCCCTATGAGTCAGAATCGACTCAATGGCACTTAACAATAACAATAATCTCCACCGGATCAGATTACCAAATCTTACTCCCACATAACTACTGTGTGGGTTTGAGTCACCAACCTTTCAGTTAGTGGCCAGGTGCTTGAAAACTGTGCCAGTAGGATCCCTTTCCTCTTAGCTGAAGATCCGTATATCCAACTGGCTCCTGAGCATTTTCACCAACACATCCCACCAACACTTCTGATTTGACCTCTCCCAAACTAAATTCATTACTTCTAATATAACATCTCTCTTCTCCTGTGAATGGAGCTAGCCTACTACCAAAATTAGAAATCACGAAGTCATTGTGGATTCATGGCTTCTCCCATGCCCCCAAGTATACTAGTCACCATGTCCCATCACATACAAATCAGGAGTTCTTGTCCTTTCTCTCAGGACTAGCACCGGCTCTTAAATTTTCATCCCTGAATGATTTTGACAGATCTAAACAGTCCTCTTGCATCCAATCCAACTCCTTCTAATATCTTTTTCATACCACCAAAGAGAATAACTCTTCTAAATTTTAGCTGTCTGTTCTTTGCTTCAATATCCCTTCTTTTCCCCCAACCATCACCACTAATTATTTCCCAAACTTGTCATCAACACAAACAGAAACTCAGTACACCTTCCTTAGAAAAACTTCCCAATCCTTCTTCTACCCAGTCCCTCGTAACCTTTCATCTCCTTTCTGTCTCTGTGTATTTGCCTCTTCTAGATGTTTCATATAAATGGAATCATATAATACTTGTCCTTTTGAATCTGGCTTCTTTAATTTAATATTTCCAATGTTTATCCATATTCTAGAACTTCTTTTCTCTTTATGGCTGAATAATGAAGATGGAGTATGGATGGAGACCACATTTTGTTTATCTGTTGATAGACACTTGGGGTGTTTCTATCTTTTGGTTTTTGTGACTAGTACTGCAATAAACACTCAGGTTGAAGTATTTGTCTGAGTCCTGACTTTCAATTCTCTTTTCAATATACCCTGGAATGGAATTGTTGAGTCATATGGAGTCCTGGTGTGGCACTGTAGGATAAGCTTTGAAACACAAGGTTGGTTTGAACTGTAAGGTTGGTGGTTCAGAACTCACCATCCCCCTCCTTGGAAATTCTATGCAGGGTTGCTATGAGGCAGTACCAACTGGATGGCACTTAACAACAATAACAATGGTAATTCTAGGGGAGTACAGAATGATGGCTCTGTATGATAAACACTGGGCTGTAAACCATAAGGTCGGTGGTTGGAGTCCACCAGCTGCTCCATGGGAGAAAGATGTACAGTCATAGAAACCCTATACTGAATCTACTTGATGACACTTAACAACATGGTAATTCTATGTCAAAAACTTTTTGAGGTGCTAAATAGCTCTTCTTTATCTTTAGAATTAAGTCCAAATTCCTTAGCACAGAATTCAAGTTCCCTCACAATATGATTTCTTTCTACTTTCCCATATATGTCTCATTAGTATTAGTTAGTCTCCATTGCTCTCCTGATAGTCCAGTTGAGTGACTGACTTTCCATTCGTAAATACATCACAGCATTGCACATGCCATCCCCATTTCCTAGAATCACCTTATTATCTGCCTGGGAAAGTTCTATTCATCCTTTAAGATTAAACTCATATGCCATATTCTGGATGAAGACTCTTGGCCTCCAGGTGTTTTTGGTGTCAGCTTCTGCTTCCACAGTTGTTATGGCAACTCCACTAAACTCAGTTTCCTGGAATCAAAGACTGGCGTCACATTTGTCTCTGTTGCTGTGGATTATTGTACCTCAAGGAATGAGTTAGTAAATCTGCATTTATCTCAGATTTGTGTCTCTTCTCAGAATCTCTATTACTGTCCTTAACCTGAATTTCTGATACAGAAACCTCAGATAGGTAAGGACCTCATTACTTTTCTTTCTGACTTATCATCAATTGTCCCAGATCCTATTGTTTTCTCTCCAAAATGACCCTTGACATTACCATCAATCTCAGATGGGATATATATATATATAATCAGTTAACTTTAGGGATGGGTTGCGTCTGCCTCAATACTGTCAGATTCAGATTTATCTCTTCAGTCAGTCAGCAAAGGTTAATTACTTTCACCTTCTTAACTCATTCAACTACCAGATAAATTCTTCTCTTCTTCATAATTATCATCTTTAAAACATTACTTCTTTGAAACCTAATTCAAGTTCACCTTTATCATTACCTACATGGTCCCTTTACTCACTGGAGGCTGGAAATTGAGGCCCTTTTTATAGAACATAGATCAACAATAACTGCATTATGAACCATGAAACCCATCTTCAAGCATCTAGTGTATGCTGGTGAGCTGACTTCAATATATCAGAGTCTAAGTTTCATCACCTGTAAAATGAGAAGGGTGGGTCAGTTGATCTTTAAGGTTTCTTTCTGCTCTGATGTTTTATGGTTCTATCAAAATTTGTTTCTGGGTTTCTGCTTTTATTCCCAGAGTTAAGTTTGTTGTTTTTTTAAAGATATTTTGATGTTTCAAAGTCCGTAGAGAAGTTTGCAGTCATAACTTCCACTTAGAATATGAAGTCAGCAAAGGAGATGCTTAGATAAAGCTTACGCTATTATTGTATTTATTAGCTGCCTTTGAGTCCGTCTCAAGTCATGGTGACCCCACTCACAATGGAATGAAACATTGCCTAGTCCTGCACCATCCCCATGATCAGTTGTGCGTTAGACTCTTGTGATTCATAGAGTTTTATTGGCTGATTGTCAGAAGTGAATTGCCAAGGCTTTTTCCCTAGTCCATGTTACTTTAGAAAATGAAAACTTGCTCAGCATTATAACAACACACAAGCTGCCACTAAGAGGTGGTGACTACACCTCAGTTGCATTGACAGAGAATGAGAGTCTGGGTTTTCTTCATGAAAGGTGAGACTTCTCCAACGGAGCCACCACTGTCCCCAGGTATAATAGGCTGTTGTTGTTAAGTGCTGTTGAGTCGGTTCTGACTCACAGTGACCCTGTACAGTGTTGCGAAAGCAGCTGATGAGTTTCAACCACCGGCCTTTCAGTTCAAACTGACCTTGCAGACCATTGCTTATCCCACAGTGCCACACCAGGACTCCAGGTATATGTTGTTGTTGTGAAGTGCCATTGAGTCGGTTCCGACCCATATAGTGACCCATATAGGGTTTCCAAGGAGTAGCTTGTGAGCTTGAACCACTGACCTTGCAGGTATAGTTGATGTCAATTTACAGATTTTAGAGGGCCAACGGACATATCCAAACAGCTCTTTCTAGCTATATTGGTGGATTTGTGTAAGTACACATTTTTACATGTGTGTGTCAATGTGCAATGCATTCTACCTCATCATCCAACTCTAGGATAGCTTCAGATAGCAGGGAAATTTGGGGACTGGAGTTAGGTTTGGTTTCTAGTCTTGTCTATATCTCAGATATGCTATGTGATGTTGTCCATATTGCAGTTCCTCCTGGGTCTCTGATTCCTCATCAATCCCCCTTGATGAGAGACTCAGGCTCTGTGGGCCCTGAGGACACACCAAGATATAATTTTCCAATCCTTTTTTTCTTTTTTGCTACT